GGGGGGGAGAGGAGATAGAGGGAGGGGGGGAGGGGGGAGAGAGAGACAGAGGGGGGAGGGGGGGGGAGAGAGACAGAGGGGGGAGGGGGGGAGAAAGAGGGGGGGGGGGAAGAGAGAGGGGGGAGAGGGAGGGGGGGAGAGAGGGAAGGGGAAAGGGAGGGGGGAGAGGGAGGGAGAAAGAGAGGGGGGAGAGGGAGGGAGAGAAAGAGAGGGGGGAGAGGGAGGGAGAAAGAGAGGGGGGAGAGGGAGGGGGGAGAAAGAGGGGGGGGAGGGAGAGGGGGGAGAGGGAGGGAGGGGGAAAGAAAGAGGGGGGAGAGAGGGAGAGGGAGAGGGGGGAGGGAGAAAGAGAGGGGGGAGAGGGGGGAGGAGGGGGGAGAAGAGAGGGGGGGGAGAGGGGGGAGAGAAGAGAGGGGGGAGAGGGAGGGAGAAAGAGAGGGGGGAGAGGGAGGGAGAAGAGAGAGGGGGGAGAGGGAGGGAGAAAGAGAGGGGGGAGAGGGAGGGAAAGAAAGAGAGGGGGGAGAGGGAGGGAGAAAGAGAGGGGGGAGAGGGAGAGGAGAAAGAGAGGGGGGAGAGGGAGAGGGGGGGGAGAAAGAGAGGGGGGAAGAGAAAAGAGAGGGGGGAGAAAGAGAGGGGGGAGAGGGAGAGGGGGGAGAGGGAGAGGGGGGAGAAAGAGAGGGGGGAGAGGGGGAGAAAGAGAGGGGGGAGAGGGGAGAGGGGGGAGAAAGAGGGAGAAAAGAGAGGGGAGAGAGGGAGGGAGAGGGGGAGAGAAAGACAGAGGGGGGCAGGGTGGGAGAGAGAGAGGGGAGAGAGGGGGGGAGAGGGAGGGGAGAAAGAGAGGGGGGGGAGAGGGAGGGGGAAAGAGGAGGGGGGAGAGGGAGGGGGGAAAGAGAGGGGGGGGGAGGGAGGGGGGGGAGAGGGAGGGGGAAGAGAGGGGGGAGAGGGAGGGGGAAAGAGAGGGGGGAGAGAGGGAGGGACAAAGAGAGGGGGGGGGAGAGGGAGGGACAAAGAGAGGGGGGAGAGGGAGGGACAAAGAGAGGGGGGAGAGAGGGGGGAAGAGAGGGGGGGAGAGAGGGGGGGGAGAGGGGGGGGAGAGGGGAGGGGGGGGGAGAGGGGGGGGAGAGGGAGGGGGGAGGAAGGGGAGGGGGGAGAGGGGAGGGGGGGAGAGGGGAGAGAGGGGAGGAGGGGAGGGGGGAGAGAGAGGGGGGGGAGGGGGAGGGGCGGAGAGAGGGGGGGGGAGGGGGGGGCAAAGAGGGGGGGGAGAGAGGGGGGAAGGAAGAGGGAGGGGAGAAAAGAGGGGATGAGGGAGAGGAGGGGGGAAAGAGAGGGGGGAGGGGAGGGGGGAGAGGGGGAGAGAGGGGGGGGGAGAGGGGGGAGGAGAAGGGGAGAGAGGGGGGATGAGAAGGGGAGAGGGGGAGGGAGAGAAGGGGGAAGAGGGGGAGAAAGAGGGAGGGGAGAGAAGGGGGAAGGGGGGGAGAAAGAGGGAGGAGCGGAGAAGGGGGAGGGGGGGAGAAAGAGGGAGGGAGGAGAAGGGGGAGGGGGGGAGAAAGAGGGAGGGAGAGAAGGGGGAGGGGGGGGGAGAGAAAGAGGGAGAAAGAGAGGGAAAGAGGGAAAGGGGAAGAGAAGTGAAGGAGAGAGGAGAAAAAAGGAAGGGGGGGGGAAAGAGAGGGGGTAAAAGGGGGGGGGGGGGGGGGGAAGAAAAAAAGATGGAGATAGAGAAAAAGAGGAAGGAGAGAGTGGAGAGGGGAGAGAAGGCACAGAAGATGAGAGAATGGAATGGAGGAGGATAGAGGGAGAATGATGTAGAAAAGGAGAGAGGAAGAAGGAGGAAGGAGAGAGAGGGGAGGTTGGAGGAGTGAAGACGAGGAGTGAAGACGAGGAGTGAAGAAGAGGAGTGAAGACGAGGAGAGAGAAGACGAGGAGAGAAGAGGAGGAGTGAAGACGAGGAGAGAAGACGAGGAGTGAAGACGAGGAGAGAAGACGAGGAGTGAAGACGAGGAGAGAAGACGAGGAGAGAAGACGAGGAGACAAGACGAGGAGAGAAGACGAGGAGAGAAGACGAGGAGTGAAGACGAGGAGTGAAGACGAGGAGTGAAGACGAGGAGAGAAGACGAGGAGAGAAGACGAGGAGAGAAGACGAGGAGAGAAGACGAGGAGGAGTGAAGAAGAGGAGTGAAGACGAGGAGTGAAGAAGAGGAGTGAAGACGAGGAGAGAAGACGAGGAGAAGGAGAGAAGACGAGGAGTGAAGACGAGGAGAGAAGACGAGGAGTGAAGACGAGGAGAAGAAGAGTGAGGAGTGAAGACGAGGAGAGAAGACGAGGAGTGAAGACGAGGAGAGAGAAGACGAGGAGAGAAGACGAGGAGTGAAGACGAGGAGTGAAGACGAGGAGAGAAGACGAGGAGTGAAGACGAGGAGTGAAGACGAGGAGAGAAGACGAGGAGTGAAGACGAGGAGTGAAGACGAGGAGAGAAGACGAGGAGAGAAGACGAGGAGAGAAGACGAGGAGAAGAAGACGAGTGAAGAAGAGGAGTGAAGACGAGGAGTGAAGACGAGGAGTGAAGAAGAGGAGTGAAGACGAGGAGTGAAGAAGAGGAGTGAAGACGAGGAGTGAAGACGAGGAGTGAAGACGAGGAGTGAAGACGAGGAGTGAAGACGAGTGAAATAGTGGAGAGAATGGTCGGTCTCAGGTTTCCCACCATCTGTTAATAACGGATCCCCCTTCACACAGTATACATGGATATCATGACCCCGGGGGGCGCTCACCTCGGCGTGTGATCCCTTCCGGACAGACTTCACCACAATCGCTTTGTTCTTCTCTTCGATGTCAAAGCCGTAATCTTCTTCCTGTGGGGGGATCTGAGGGAAGAGACAATATTTATAGTGAGTCCATCTCTAATGACATGAGTGGGATCAGACTTTACATCGCCATATTCCTAATACAGACTGGTGGAGTCTCCCTCTAGTGGCAATCTGTATAACAGGCAGTGCAGTTGTCACTCTTCCTGAATAAATTATGACAAAACCCGGGGGGAGTTACCGTGAAGTTCCCAGGTATTAGTTGGACTATAAGTCTCAGCATGCCCAGCCCATATTGGCTATGGAACCACCATACCCAACAAGCTGACCTTGTCTACTGGTGGACCTATGAGGGGATTTTACCATGACAAGACCAGAATGTGGAGCAGCTGTGCATGACAACCAATCGGCTTCTATCTTTCATTTTCAACTCATACCTGAACAAGCTGACGATAGAAGCTGATTGGTTGCTGCTCCAGATTCTTTCTACTCCAGCTTTAACAAATTCCCCCTACATGACGCATTATTCCCAGTTCATTTTTAGCTGTGGAACTGCTATAAGCTGACCATGTCTACTGGTGGAACCATAAGTCTCAGCAGGCCCAGTTCATTTCTAGCTATGGAACCGCCATAAGCAGACCCCATATCTGCTGATGGAACTATAATGTCTCAGCATGCTCAGTTCATTTCTAGCTATGGAACCGCCATAAGCAGACTCCATCTGCTGGTGGAACCATATGTCTCAGCAGGCCCAGTTCATTTCTACCTATGGAACTACCATAAGCAGACCCTATCTGCTGGTGGAACCATAAGTCTCAGCATGCTCAGTTCATTTTAGTTATGGAACCGCCATAAGCTGACCCGATCTACTGGTGGAACTATATGTCTCAGCATGCCCAGATCATATTTAGCTATGGAACTACCATAAGCAGACCCTATCTACTGGTGGAACTATATGTCTCAGCATGCCCAGTTCATTTTTAGCTCTGGAAATGCCATTGGATCTACTGCCGTTTTTGAACTACATGGTTCAGAATGCCTTTAGATAAAGCCGCAGTTTTTTCCATTAACAGTCCCTATTAAAAGCCCCCTAAATATACATTCTGGATAAACGTTTCCCCAAGATGTGTAAGTATTAAACAGGTTTTATTCTATTTTCCCACCATGACATAAAATGGCCTGCAGGGGGCGCTCTATGCCTGAGCACCATGCAGCACAGGACGGGTGGCCCCTTCTATTCTCATAGAACAGGTTGGCTCCTGTAGCCGGCATTCATGTTCTGAGGTTCTCTCCTGCGGTCCCTCGGCTAATCGTGGACCGCTCCTCGCCGCCAGGACGCGGCATTTATCAGAAGTCAAAGTAGAGAGCGTGGAAGGAAAGTTCTATTTCTGAGCGGCGGTCAGGGGTGGTGAGGAATGTGGACCAGGAGAGGCCAGCTATTTATATCCACAAATAAAAGACTACAAAATTCCTGCAATGTGTAAAACATCTGGCTGACCCTAATTACAGTGTTTGGGGGCCTCTCTCTGTAAACAAGGCGCAAACACGCAGATTCCTCGCCGCGCGTCCACATGGCAGAAACTTCCAGACCTGTACGGGGTCATCTCATAGGCCCTTCATAGTCACAGCTCAATGAAGTCATGACTTTCACCGCCCAGCCTATGTTAACATCCCCCCCTCAAAAAAAAAATGACAGGAAAGTGAAAAGTCCAACTTATAAGAAATGATTATCAAAAAATAAAGGGTTGGATATGAGGTCATTATGACCTCACACACCATTTTCGGCAATTTATAAATCTCATGTTATACATTTCCACCCCGTTGGGCATCTTAAGAAAGGTCCCCACATGGTGAGGTCCGGGAATGCTTGGAGTTGTGTTATCCTGATGTGTTGCCAATTGATGCTCCTAGATTCTAGGACCTAGAATGATCTGATGGCACCATCCAGCAAGCCGCTACAGCACTTCAGAGGATGGAGCAGCCATTCTGAACAAGGGTTCCATGACCCCCCCACCCCTCCCCCACCCCACCTCCAGGGTTCCTCCAAAGGTTTCCTGTGGCTGATTGACCTTCAATTTGATGTTGCCTACATGGTTCCAGAGGCCATTGCCACTTGGCAAAGCCATCAGCATGACATGATGATCTTTTTAGCTGTCTACAAGGGTGGCAGCACCACTGTAAGATGGCATTCTTCCCACTGACCACCAATGTAAGGGACATTCTTCCCACTGACCACCAATGTAAGGGACATTCTTCCCACTGACCACCAATGTAAGGGACATTCTTCCCACTGACCACCAATGTAAGGGACATTCTTCCCACTGACCACCAATGTAAGGGACATTCTTCCCACTGACCTCCAATGTAAGGGTCATTCTTCCCACTGACCCCAATGTAAGGGACATTCTTCCCACTGACCACCAATGTAAGGGACATTCTTCCCACTGACCTCCAATGTAAGGGACATTCTTCCCACTGACCCCCAATGTAAGGGACATTCTTCCCACTGACCACCAATGTAAGGAGCATTCTTCGATCACCGATGTAAGGGACATTCTTCCCACTGATCAATGTAAGGGACATTCTTCTCACTGACCACCAATGTAAGGGACATTCTTCCCACTGATCACCAATGTAAGGGACATTCTTCCCACTGACCACCAATGTATTCTTCCACTGACCCCAATGTAAGGGACATTCTTCCCACTGATCACCAATGTAAGGGACATTCTTCCCACTGACCACAATGACCACCCCCAATGTAAGGGACATTCTTCCCACTGACCACCAATGTAAGGGGCATTCTTCCCACTGATCACCAATGTAAGGGACATTCTTCCCACTGACCACCAATGTAATTTCTTCCCACTGACCACCAATGTAAGGGACATTCTTCCCACTGACCCCCAATGTAAGGGACATTCTTCCCACTGACCCCCAATGTAAGGGACATTCTTCCCACTGACCCCCAATGTAAGGGACATTCTCCCACTGACCCCAATGTAAGGGACATTCTTCCCACTGACCCCCAATGTAAGGGACATTCCTCCCACTGACCCCAATGTAAGGGACATTCTTCCCACTGACCCCCAATGTAAGGGACATTCTTCCCACTGACCCCCAATGTAAGGGACATTCTTCCCACTGACCCCCAATGTAAGGGACATTCTTCCACTGACCACCAATGTAAGGGACATTCTTCCCACTGACCCCCAATGTAAGGGACATTCTTCCCACTGACCCCCAATGTAAGGGACATTCTTCCCACTGACCCCCAATGTAAGGGACATTCTTCCCACTGACCACCAATGTAAGGGACATTCTTCCCACTGACCACCAATGTAAGGGACATTCTTCCCACTGACCCCCAATGTAAGGGACATTCTTCCCACTGACCCCCAATGTAAGGGACATTCTTCCCACTGACCCCAATGTAAGGGACATTCTTCCCACTGACCCCCCAATGTAAGGAACATTCTTCCCACTGATCCCAATGTAAGGGACATTCTTCCCACTGACCACCAATGTAAGGAACATTTCTACTATTGACCACCACCATTTCAACCATTTAATATGTTTCAATAAGGGTCCCCGAGACCTGAAAATTATTTGAGAGGTTCTTGTAGAATAAGAAGGTTGAGAAAGACGGGTGTGAAGTCTAGTAGGCGTCCACATAGTGTACATCCCTGGCTCTGATAGTTGGGGCTCCATAGAGAAGCTGGAATTTTTACTGGAGCAGCAAGTGATGGTCCTAGCAGTCCCTGTGTGTACAAGGTTATAGGTACATTGGGGCCACCAGATCTCACACAGCTTTGTGTCTTAGCTGGTCACAGGTAAGGATGGTGGAGCGAATACTCTACAGGCACACTAATCACAGATACAAATGGATATCACTCTAAATTTCTATATCCTGTTAAAACTTGTTCATACCAAGTTCTCTTAGAATTGCCCCATCATGTATTCAGTCAAAGAGCTTAATAAGCTCTGAGGAGCCTAAGTGGACTTTTAGTTGTGTCCTCATCCCACCCATCAGTCCTTGTTTGTTTTTGACACCCATTTTGCACACATTCTAAAAATTCTGTTGCTGGGATACCTAAAAATAAAACACAAAAACCTCCAATATGTGTATTTTTGTGCACTGCCTGTGCTAACACTTAGACGAGCTGTGTGGTTTCCGTTGAGGAGGCTTGTCTTGCTGCGGAGGAGAAGCCTTGTGCCACCACAACCTGCAGAGTGAGCTGAGCCGAGGAACGTTACACAAGATTTCTGATAAGGAAATAAGTCAGCACAATCCACCTCCCACCATGACCTCTATTTATGACACAAGGCTTGGTGGCCTGACAGAGGCATCACCTACAAACATGGAGGCCATGTGGCCAGTACTGAGGGCTTCTTACCAGAAGAGTCTTGGCCAGGATGTTCTCTATCAGTTTAAAGTCATTACGGAGCTGCTTGTTCTTGGAGCTCGTCCCCTCCATCTCCTCGTCAGCGTGGAATCGGAAAAAACTGCGATTCGTCCTTGAATTCGCTCTTCTCCAGGACTGAGAAGACAAGATGTTGGCATGTTAATACAGAGGACAGAATGAGCTGGCCGCGGTTTATAGATGATGAGCTAAGATATAGGGCCTGTGTTACCGAGCCCAATCTAAGGGAATGCAAAACACGACTGAAGGGGGTCCATGGGGGGCGGGGGGGAATGATCGGGGCAACTGCATCAGAATGATCTACGGGCAACTGCATCTGAATGATCTACGGGCAACTGCATCTGAATGATCTACGGGCAACTGCATCAGAATGATCTACGGGCAACTGCATCAGAATGATCTACGGGCAACTGCATCAGAATGATCTACGGGCAACTGCATCTGAATGATCTACGGGCAACTGCATCTGAATGATCTACGGGCAACTGCATCAGAATGATCTACGGGCAACTGCATCTGAATGATCTCGGGCAACTGCATCTGAATGATCTACGGGCAACTGCATCTGAATGATCTACGGGCAACTGCATCTGAATGATCTACGGGCAATTGCATCAGAATGATCTACGGGCACCTGCATCTGAATGATCTACGGGCAACTGCATGAGAAATCTACGGGCAACTCTGAATGATCTACGGGCAACTGCATCAGAAAGATCTACGGGCAACTGCAGAAAGATCTACTGCATCTGAATGATCTACGGGCAACTGCATCAGAATGATCTACGGGCAACTGCATCTGAATGATCTACGGGCAACTGCATCAGAATGATCTACGGGCAACTGCATCTGAATGATCTACGGGCAACTGCATCAGAATGATCTACGGGCACCTGCATCTGAATGATCTACGGGCAACTGCATCAGAATGATCTACGGGCAACTGCATCAGAATGATCTACGGGCAACTGCATGAGAATGATCTACGGGCAACTGCATCAGAAAGATCTATGGGCAACTGCATCAGAATGATCTACGGGCAACTGCATCAGAATGATCTACGGGCAACTGCATCTGAAAGATCTACAGGGCAACTGCATCAGAATGATCTACAAGCAACTGCATCTGAATGATCTACGGGCAACTGCATCTGAATGATCTACGGGCAACTGCATCTGAATGATCTACAGGGCAACTGCATCTGAATGATCTACAAGCAACTGCATCTGAATGATCTACAGGGCAACTGCATCTGAATGATCTACAGGGCAACTGCATCAGAATGATCTACAAGCAACTGCATCTGAATGATTTACGGGCAACTGCATCTGAATGATCTACGGGCAACTGCATCTGAATGATCTACAGGGCAATGCATCTGAATGATCTACAGGGCAACTGCATCAGAATGATCTACAAGCAACTGCATCTGAATGATCTACGGGCAACTGCATCTGAATGATCTACGGGCAACTGCATCTGAATGATCTACGGGCAACTGCATCTGAATGATCTACAGGCAACTGCATCTGAATGATCTACGGGCAACTGCATCTGAATGATCTACGGGCAACTGCATCTGAATGATCTACGGGCAACTGCATCTGAATGATCTACAGGGCAACTGCATCTGAATGATCTACAGGGCAACTGCATCTGAATGATCTACAGGGCAACTGCATCTGAATGATCTACGGGCAACTGCATCAGAATGATCTACGTGCAACTGCATCAGAATGATCTACGGGCAACTGCATCAGAATGATCTACGGGCAACTGCACCAGAATGATCTACGGGCAACTGCATCTGAATGATCTACGGGCAACTGCATCTGAATGATCTACGGGCAACTGCATCTGAATGATCTACAGGCAACTGCATCTGAATGATCTACGGGGCAACTGCATCTGAATGATCTACGGGCAACTGCATCTGAATGATCTACAAGCAACTGCATCTGAATGATCTACAAGCAACTGCATCTGAATGATCTACGGGCAACTGCATCTGAATGATCTACAGGCAACTGCATCTGAATGATCTACGGGGCAACTGCATCTGAATGATCTACGGGCAACTGCATCTGAATGATCTACGGGCAACTGCATCTGAATGATCTACGGGCAACTGCATCTGAATGATCTACAGGGCAACTGCATCTGAATGATCTACAGGGCAACTGCATCTGAAAGATCTACAGGGCAACTGCATCTGAATGATCTACAGGGCAACTGCATCTGAATGATCTACAGGGCAACTGCATCAGAATGATCTACAAGCAACTGCATCTGAATGATCTACAGGCAACTGCATCTGAATGATCTACGGGCAACTGCATCTGAATGATCTACGGGCAACTGCATCTGAATGATCTACAGGGCAACTGCATCTGAATGATCTACAGGGCAACTGCATCTGAATGATCTACAGGGCAACTGCATCTGAATGATCTACAGGGCAACTGCATCAGAATGATCTACAAGCAACTGCATCTGAATGATCTACGGGCAACTGCATCTGAATGATCTACGGGCAACTGCATCTGAATGATCTACAGGGCAACTGCATCTGAATGATCTACAGGGCAACTGCATCTGAATGATCTACGGGCAACTGCATCTGAATGATCTACAGGGCAACTGCATCTGAATGATCTACAGGGCAACTGCATCTGAATGATCTACGGGCAACTGCATCTGAATGATCTACAGGCAACTGCATCTGAATGATCTACGGGCAACTGCATCTGAATGATCTACGGGCAACTGCATCTGAATGATCTACGGGCAACTGCATCAGAATGATCTACGGGCACCTGCATCTGAATGATCTACGGGCAACTGCATCTGAATGATCTACGAAGAGTCTCACACTGATGTCCACCTGATGCCAGCCCTGTAGGCCCGTACAGTTTACATTTCTTTCAGCCATTCCTGTGACATATCCTATCCACGCTGTAATGAGAGATCTGTCCTGTGTCCGCAGCGGAGGAGGGGATGTGAATGCAGTGTAATTGGTGGAGTAGGGATCGGCGAGGATTGGTGAGGACAATCTACAAGTATCTCTCCGACTTCCAGACAATTACAGGCTGCAGCACCAGGTGGGGGTTGGCTGGCACCATTCAGAGCTCCCCGACCACAAAACTTCACTATAAAAAGATCCGGTATCCAGGATCCAGACATGAAGCAGCAAAAACACCAGGATATCCGCAGTCACCGGCCGCCATGTCTGCCGGCAATCACGCTTCAAATCAGGAACGCACAGCAGGAGATCCAATGTTTGTGCTGGCCTCCAGATGACTCGGGTACGTCATCTCCATCATTTCACCAGTGTGGGTCAGGCCCCCTGCACATGGGGGTGTCTAGTCTGGGGTGGTGCGCAAACTGCAGTGTTTTAGTGCCCCCACCACAGTTTTAGTGTGGCCGGGGTGCAGCATCCAGCCTCACGTAGGTGTCCAGGGATGAATACCCGAAACGCAGTTCTGTGCTCCAGGCCCACGTCCCCTGAACAGATACATAGAGCATTCAGCCCCTCCAAGCTGGTGCCAGCCATAGAGGTGGTCAGGTTGCCGGCAGCGGGGCTGGGTGTCACACCTAACCCTCCTAGGGGCATAAAATGCCAGAACTAGTGATGGGCCTTTATGTTCGAGTCAACGCAAGTTGGCCAGCCGCGTCCCACAATGCACTGTGCTCTCACAGTGTATTGTGATTGGCCAAAGCAACGCACCTGTCCACAGTCCACGTGCAATGCTTTGTCCAATCACAGCACAATTGGGCGGAGCTAGCGGTGACGTCACCAATATCTTTGCCCAATTGTTTACATCGGACTCGCAAATGTCAGATAGCGGAGGGTGCAGACGGGTTGGCGGGCATGGTATTTTTTTTTTTTGGGGGGGGGGGGGGGGGGCGAGTTGTCGTGACAATGCTG